AGGAGTATAGGATGAAGGATACACAAACTAGACTTTCTGTCTTCAGCTTTTGAAGCACTACCTTCTCTCCAATAACCATGAAGACAATTCAAGAGCCTGTTTCAGATGAACTGATTGTCCTGTGGAGCAAGGCACACAGTTTTAAGTAAAGTACTGCCCAAATTGAGGCACCCTGGATTGCAGCCGTTGCTAAATGGAGCAATGCACAGGGCTAATGGGTAAGCTCTGCTTGCAGTACACTCCTGGGTTTGCTGGTGATGAACTATACACATGCTTGATGCTTAACAGACCTTGCTTCAAATTCAATCTGAGCCATATGGCAGCCATTACTGAAAGAAAGCAATGCATTTTTTCACTGTCAGCAGCTCTGATGCTAAAACAGAACAGCTCCAAACAGCAGTCCCAGTTGTCCATTTCTCCTCCCAAAGGGTCTTTCTAGTCTGTCTTTTTTACTCTTCTAGCCTTTCCCAAGGTTGTGAGCTGTTTTAGCTTCAAGCACGCACATTACTTCTCTCAAGGACATGTTACTACACCCTGCAATTGTTGATGCTCTTCACTTTTTTATACAAATTCTCTTGATTAACAGTGTAGATTGAAAGGAGACACATGCAGTAAAAATCCTGTAATAGCTTCAGACGTCTTTCTTAAACTAGAACAAACCCAGCAGTATCTCTTAGAAATTATCTCCAAAATTCAGGATGGGTATCCACAGTATTTTTAATGTAATATTTTTTTCCACCTCCTTTTATTGTTGTGAAAATATCTTTCATACTGTTACTTTTTGAGAGATTGTTCATGGTCTTAGAAGCACTTTGAGTTTCAGTGATGTTTGCCTTTGATCACTCAGCTTCTCAAGTTAAAAATTACCTCATTAACACAAAATTCTTAGCTCTTTCTGAAAATAAGGTTCTGGAAAGAGTCTCAGGTTGGATCTGCAAAACAAAAAGCCTACCAAATTATTAGTCATTTTTGAAAATCTTGGCCACGGTCTTTTATTAGTCTGTAAAACTTTATCACCGTAAAGTGCAACCTTTAAATAAGAAATATTTTACACCAGATGACGGAGGACTCAACACAACAAATGCATGAGATGTGCATAATCTTGAAGGCTCCATGGGAAGAAGGCTTTCTGCAAAGTCTGCTGAACCAGGTAATCATTGTCTCTGCGGAGACATTTCAAATTTTTTTGGGAGAGTGTAAGAAATTACATATGACAGTCATAAACACTCTTGCTTCTTCATTTTGAAGACATTTCTTGTCATTTTTTTTCTGCTTTGTTTTCATCAGAAGAAATGGAAATTCACATTATTGAGAAAGTCTCAGAAAATATATTTTGGTATATTCTTCTCCTAGTGAAGGACTCCTCCTTTGAATGGAAACGTGTGTTTGATAGGGACCAAATATCTGGCCTCAAAATCCACAAAGGGCAGATTGTGACCCCTTGCTGAACAATATTTCATACAAATAGTACCACTGCTTGCCACAAGGTAAACAGCAAGTCCCTTTGCCAGGGACTTCCGTGATAACATAATGAGTATCTGGACATAATTAGCAGGTAAAAATAGAAAGTAAATTCAGACCACCATGAAGCAAAAGATAAATTAAACTTTTTTGTTGTTGCTATATGTAAACATCTGGCAAGATGCATTTAAGTGTGTTACGGCAGATATCTGCCATGAGGACTTGCAATTTCAGTACAACATTTGGGATGGACTCGGCTCTTTCTTTAGTGGCAAAGAGGCCTCCATATTCTCTCTTCACACTTTGTGAAGATTTAGCACAAAAACAAAGCAGCTTTGTACTGAACAACTGCTTGCTGTTTACAAGAATCATAGATACAATTTTCATGGTGAAGCCTCCTTAAATGGTTCACAACTGGACGTACAACTATATTAAATTTCACACAGTGATGCCTCTGCCCCTCTCCATCTTCCTTGGTTGGACTCCAGCTGACAAGCATCCTTGTCACTAATGTGGGGTACCAGCACTCCTGCAGGAGGTATAACTCTTAAACATTTTAAGTTATAGGTGTTTAAAGTGACATTCATAATGAAAATTGGGTGGTTTCATGGCTTTTGTCTTATAATTAGTACATCTGCTTAAAACTAGAACCTTTGCTAAAGGCATAGATGTAAATTAATTTAATCAAATTTAAATTATTAAAATATTCAGTATGCATGAAGGAATCAGTTTTACACCTGCTTTGTAAGAAATCCCTGATAATCTTTAAGATATCTTGAAGGCCCTGGAGGGCTAGTAGAGTGAAACACTTAAGCACCTGTTTTATTTTGAAGCACATAAACAATGCAAAAATTACTGATGGTAAGGGTGCATTTTTTCATAAACAAGAAACATGGGGGTATAAACATAACTAATGAAAAAAATTTATGGTGTGTTTAACATTAGCCTTACTGAATCAGTGAAAGCTGCCCATGTATTGAAGCTTTGCTTTCCTTTTTTGACTACTTTGGTCTTTTCTACTTCTAAACTTCTTTTGAGACATTCTGAGTTTAAGAAGCAAGAGATTAAAAATTATGAAATAGGTTGTTATAGGTTTAATTATTAAAATCAAACAGATGAAACAGAAAAATAATTAAAATAATTATGCAAGTTTTAAAGCTAATATAAATCATTTAAAGTACTAGAATATATTGTATGTTTTCAATATTTTTCCATTAACTTTTCCCTTAAAATATTTATGTCATTGTTCTGGCTTTGAACATGAATAGTTTTTCTGATATGAAGTTGTTACTTTGAGTTTGGACTAAAAAGGAAAACAAAAATCTTCCAAAATGCTTAATGTGAGAAATATGTGTCTATCTTTGGAGAGCAAGTTGGCTGCAAAGAGTTTGCTTTAGATCAATGATGAAAGAAAATTGCAAGAGACACTGAGGAATATTATAACTTTGTATAAATACATGCAAATATCTCTCTGAACAAAAAGGAAAAGGTAAGATTTATTCTTTAAAGAACTGAAAATATTAAAAAATTCTTAGCAAATACATTTGCTCTCTTCTCCTAATGAAGAATTTTGTCTTTAAATGGCATGACAGCATCTGCATTTAATAAAAATCAAATAAAATATTTCCGTAGAAACAGATGGCACTGGTTTTAATCCTTTGTGGCCAAGTCAGGTATTATGAGAATGAGTTATGATGTAAGTCAGCTTCGCGTGTAAAGTATCTTCTAACAAAAATGTTGAATAAATGCACACTTTGGGCTACCTGTTTCATCTAGACCAGCTCCCCTCATCTGATAGAACATAAACAATCAAATGCCTTCAGCTCAGTGACTGGTTGATATTAAGGCCAGGCTTTTCTTCTTTCCCTGCCTAGGTGCTGAGGTGCCTGAGCTGTTTCAGGGGTTAAAAGCTGTAAGCAGTGATGCGTATATATGAGGCTGTATTCCTAGAACACGGCTTGTAGCCTGACTCAAGCTATTACAGTCTAACAACAGGGACCAATAGAAAGAGAAGAAGATCCAAGAAAGCTGAGGTAAGCCCAAACTCTGAAACAATGTCAAACTAGAAGCAATAGTTAATAAGGTGTGCATGGAAATACATCTGGGAATACTAGTATGTACTTCCAGTTTTATATGCTGCTAATTCTTAGGAGGACAGGAAACAAACACAGGGGTTAGCAGCCAAAAGCGGTGAATTTACAGAGATTTCTAACTGGCTTCAGATAGCTCCAGGAATTTGACTAAAAAGGTAAATTGCTTTATATTTCTTTTTTAAAGTGCTATTAAGGTTATGAATATTTACAGAGTAAGAAGGTTGCAAATTCACTGTGCAAAATAGAAATGTCATTCTTTAAAAATACTTTATTTGTTCCTTTCTTTGGAATGCTTCCAGATAGCAGTTTCTGGGGCTGGAAAAGGTACAGGATTCTGCACTTGTTACTGCTAATAACAATGTTGAAAACTATTAAATTACTACATATCATATGCAGCAACTGAACTGAGCTTTTAACCTTACTGATACATTAATCCTATGAGAGAATTTACTTTTATTTAAATACTATTTTTGTTACAGTTAACCTCCTAATTTGACCAGAAATTTCAGCTATCAGTCTTTTGCTTCTACATTGCAAAATGCTTGTTTGTCTTCATGAGCCAGTGAGCAAGATAACAGAGTTTGCAAGGCACTGTTTTTGTGCTACACAAATATTTCCTTTCTGAGTAAATTATCAGTGATAACTTTGTTCATAATTATAATTGTGGAAGAGGCTAAAAAAAGCATATCATTAAGTAGGAAAAATAGTTAAAATGTGCATAAAGCTATGTGAACGGTTAGGTCAGAATTTACTTATTGTGGATATAATTTGATTAGGGTTTCTTTTTTGTGTCATTTAGGGCAGGCATTTGTTTTGTATGTTTGCTTTAGGGAAGGAAATTTGTAACTTTGGATATGATAGAGTGAGTGAGGAGGGGAATGGATTAGTCAAACATATTCCCTCCAAGCTTTTAAGAACATGCCCAACAAACAGCTGTTAAAACACTATTTGATCTTCTACTTTTACATGAAGACAAAAGACCCTGGAAAATCTGATCCAGATGTCATTATAATTCAAGAGAGAGCAAAAACAGAAAAGAGGGGATGATTAATTTTAAAAGGAGGAACACTGCGTACTATAGTATTTATATCATCATGGTAATGATGTCTTCTCTGAAAATTACCCATTACATAATGTAGATTGTAGGTCTGTACAGGAAAACTTACACAAATGTAAAAGAGGTACTGATTTATTATCTAAAAGTTATCCATATTTTCATATTTTTTGAAATGATACTTGCATGAACATCAGTCAAACTGGTAGCCAGTGTGGAGTCTAAGCTGAATCAGGGATATATTTATCACTATATAGCACAGAATTGTTTATACCTTTTATATTACTTTTCAGTTTTCCCTTAACAGGCCATGGATACCACCCTAGAGGGAAGAATTTGTCTGTTTATAAGGGAAATATTATTTTATATGCAAAATTGTATTGTTAATCTAGTATGCTACTAGGGAGTTTTATTGAGAAACAGCTAATTGTTTTTTCCCCTTCCAAGGCAAACACCATGATTTTGAAAGTCTATACAAGCCTTTGGCTCTTATTCTTGGTCAATTCTGTGTGGACTCGAACTGTGAGACAAGTTTATGATGATCTGGATCCTGGCCACTGGTCTCACTATACTTCTGAGTGTCCACAGGAGTGCTTTTGTCCTCCTAGTTTCCCCAATGCATTATACTGTGATAATAAAGGACTTAAAGAAATACCTCCAATTCCAGCCAGAATTTGGTACCTCTATCTTCAAAACAATCAAATTGAAACAATTTCAGAGAAGCCTTTTGCGAATGCCACTCATCTGAGATGGATAAATCTGAACAAGAATAAGATCACAAACAGTGGGATTGAGAATGGTGTGCTGAGCAAGCTGAAAAGGCTGCTTTACTTATTCCTTGAAGATAATGAGTTGGAAGAAGTTCCTGCTCCATTACCAGTGGGTCTGGAACAGCTAAGACTAGCTAGAAACAAAATCTCTAAAATCCCAGAAGGAGTCTTCAGCCACTTGGAAAACCTTACTATGTTAGACCTGCACCAGAACAGTTTGTTGGACAGCGCTCTTCAAAGTGATACCTTCCAAGGACTCAACAACCTCATGCAGCTCAACATCGCAAAAAATTCACTCAAGAAAATGCCTTTAAGCATTCCAGCTAATACACTGCAGCTCTTTTTGGACAACAACTCCATCGAAGTCATACCAGAAAACTACTTCAGTGCAATACCCAAAGTGACTTTCCTTAGGCTGAACTACAATAAACTATCTGATGATGGTATCCCTCCAAATGGGTTTAATGTTTCATCTATTCTAGACCTACAGCTTTCTCACAATCAGCTCACTAAAATTCCACCAATCAATGCTCATCTTGAGCACCTTCATCTTGATCACAACAAAATCAAAAGTAAGTGTGTATTACCAGTGTGAAACCCTTCAAAATCATCTCCATTTTAAATGTCTACTTCACAGTAAAAATGGTCTTTGAGATAAAGTGATTAAAATCATAGAATCATTGAATATTTTGGGAAGGAAGGGACTTCTAGAGGTCCCTTTATTCCAACCTTCCTGCAATAAGCAGGGACATTTGATGAGGTTTCTCAGAGCCCTGTCCAGCCTGACCTTGAAATTTGCCAGGCATGGGGCATCCACCCCCTCTCTGAGCAAAATGTTTTTGTGTTTTATGGATTTTACAGCATATATGTTCTATTAAGATTTATGTCCTCAAAGGTTTTCCATTTTGTGTAAATGAGACAAGGTTTTGTACCCAAGGCAACAGAAGCCTTCTGGTTTTAAGATTCATTTCCAGGACTGTTTCCAAATTCATCCAGGTATAGAGGGGATGTGGTAGCTAGGGATATTACATATTCTATATAATGAAAGTATCTAATCAGTAAGTACTTCATTTCATGCCAAAAGTCAAAATAAAAATGATGACTTTTTATTCACCACTGCATGGAAGGAAGCCAAGTTTCTATATTTATCTTCTCATCATGATGATTTAATTGAATACATGGTCCTTTACCACTTTTTTGTGCCACTGTAGTCCAAAAATATACTAAAAATAATGGTTTGGCTTTTGCACAAAGCAAGGATCTATGACATGAAGATACTTCTTGATGTTAATTAGAGTTAAAGCTTATGACAGATGTTGTTTCTGAACATATTTCATTGCCCCCGGTTACTTAGAGATTTATTTTAATTGCTTCACTGCAAGGCCTCAGGTGCAGACTTTATTCTCTCACTCCAAGTGGACACAAAATTGAAATCAATGGAATGTAGCCTGTCCAGTTTAAGAACAGTTTTGTGTCTAGGTAGTATTTAAAGAACTGTCCAGTCCTCTTCCTTCTCTGAAAAAGTTTGACAAAGCTTAAGACCATGAAAATTAAATTTTGTAGTATGTACAAAATCAAATCTTTTGTTCCAATGACACATAACCTGTGAACTGAATCATTATGCTTTTCCACAAATCTTGTATTCCTTAGTGCCTTTACCACTTTTCAAAAATCATTGTCAACTTAAGCACAAGTTGGCTTGTGGCTGACTTTAGCCAAAAAAAGAAAAAAAGAAGGAAATTATTAGTAAATGAAGTCTCCATGAGACTTTGCTCTGATAGATAATATCTTAAAGGGCCTTTAGGATGGCAAACAAAGAATGTAATTCCATCAGGCCAGAGTAGTAAGAGCTGACACTAATTCTGCAGATTGGTTTCATCTTCTTTAACCCAGATCAATCACTATTTTAAGATAATCAATGTGAAAGGCTTGAAAGAAAAATAGCTGTAAAGTCCTGATCTGGTTCCTTCACAAAAGAGTCCTGCTGAAGGTTTACTTTTATGTGTGCAGTATGAGCCCTTTTTATAACATTAATTCTCAGGTATTCCTTCAAACCACTGCTTTATTGTCTATTGGTGACTCATAGTTACACTGTTGTCATTGCAAGAGTGCAGACATCAGCATTTCTATGTAAATACCATTTGACCATGTTTTATTATATGCTATTTTGTAATATCAATTCCTCATATAAGTGCATGGCCTTATTTCTCCAGAGACCATTTATGAAGATACAAGTTCTTCCTCTGAAACCCAGGAAAGCCAATGATAGCCTCATCATTTGTCTCAGTGGAACAAGAATTTCGCCTACAATCCCTTCCCTAAGGATCGCAATACACAGAGGAAAAAAAAAACATTCCAGTTTTGGAAGTAAAATCAAAATAAATCCAAAACTAATTATGGCTCCAACAGATTTGTAACACATTTGATCTATGGCATTTTAAAACACACATGCCCACATATTTACCTGAGACATACACTTGTGAGGCTCTGGGGAATTTTTAAATAATGGAAAAGAGAATGTTAAAGTAAGCAAAGAGAAGGTATGAAATGATGTAACAAGTGAGCAAGGGTCAGCAGGTGGTATTATTACAGTGCTATCAAAGGACAAATGAAAGGGAGTAAACAGTAAGTTCCCCTGGAGGGGACCAGGAGGACAAGGTAGATACTGTTAGCTGATATTATACCACATTTAGAGAAAGAGAGAAATCCCTGGGCCATGTATCTAAATTTTTTTCCCAAATGGTAAGTTTTACTGGGAAAAGATCTATATTTCTTCAGCAGACATACAGCATTAGCCATTAATGAGAACTTTGGCAGTTTTCCCTTACAGCAGCTCTAGGTTTCATGTTTGAATATTCAAGGACATAAAAATTCTGTTGACAAGTGGTGGAATTCATCTTCTTTGAATAAACTATCCGATATTTTTTTATCTAATTTGTGGTAGTCATACCAACCTCCTACTCCATGGAAAGGGATACACAATTGTATAGGGAAATTCATCCCATCTTAAGGAGGTGTCAGTCCCCTTTTGGAAGTATTCATCTCTCTCTGAATTTATACAGAGAGTCTAAATGGTTTACTTAGGCTGACACAACTTCGACATGGATCATGGCAAGGTGAATTTTACCTCTGGAAGGAACAACCTCTTCCTCCTACTTAAACAAAATTCAGCCATATATCCATGAAGAGTATTGAAAGAGAGAAAAAATTAGAGAGGCTTTTACTCCCCTGATAGTTTGGGTAGGATTTACTGTTTATGGGAAGAGAACAATAAAACCCAAACCAGTTCATACCACACATCATCAGGAAATAACTTCTTCCTAGGTGGCCTGTGGTTAGATAACTGCTGCCTCACTTCAAGCCTGAAGTAATTAACTCAGTGAAAATGAGGGCCGTGAGATAGATTTTAGTCAGAGAAGACAGATATTTAGGATACACTCGAAGCCATCTTGTCTCTATGAACAGTAGTGCTGATCAAACAAAGCAGATATTTTCTGCTAGATAGTGTTGATTCACCAAAAACTTTAAATAGCTGCCTTCTTAATGAAAATTCTTAAGCCTTCTGTGTTGTAAATTCACACATAAAGATAAGCTGTAGCTTGTTTCTTCCAAAAATACCAAAAGCTTTGCCAACATTAATCAAATTTCACAAGATAAACAACCACAATTTGCTATCACGGATATAACAAAAGCTTCGGGCCTTGGCCAACTGGCTGTATTTATCTAGTTTCCATGACAAAGACAGAGTCCACTTCCAAGATGTTGCAAACATCTGGGCAGTTTTTCAAAATAGAGTGGAGGGGGAAAAAAAAAAAAGTTATGGGAAAAAAAGTTTAAAAAAGTTATGTTGTTATTTTTACTTCATAACATTTCTCTGATTTTGGAGATTGTAGTCAGAATATTTGTGCATGGCACCATTACTAAATATAAAGGAAGAATTTTTTTTCCTCTTTGTTAGCAAAGAAATTTGTTTAAAAAATCTGTTACATACACGTTCTCCAGTCACTTTTTTTTTTCAGTTAGTCTGGGGCCAAGATCTTCAAGCAGTTAGATCAATCGAAGAATATCATAATTTGGTTAAAGGAATTTGACATCTCTGATAAACAAACAACACTTCAGTGTTTTCTAGAGGCTATTTTGAAGCTGCCTGATTATTTAACAACTAAAAACAAAATATAACAAGTATTTTAGCCAAGTGACAGTGCAGAGGTAACCTAGAGGAGATAAAAAGCCCAAGCTACTCAATACTTCAGAATATGGGTAATGATTGAAGCCATGGTTTCAAATTTTATCTGTACAGAAACAAATGATGCATGATGTATGTAGAATTTTGAGAAGTTGTTAGCTTTCAGATTAGGAAGAAAAATACCTCATTGCACAAGTTATAGTCTTGCAATTAGAACCAAATCCACTTAATAATGTCGGAGAATAGAAAAGTACAGATGTTAAAAATTAAAAACACTATACAAAAAGTTCCTTTGATTCAATACTGCTATTGTTTTGAATGCAAGATCTTCATTAGGCAATACTGTCAGCCTAAAATTAATGTACTGTCACTGAAATAAGATGTTCAAAACCCCTCAGAAGGAATCTTGCCTTGCTCACTCAGAATGTAAAGAGCTATTTCTCAATCCTTACCATGTAGTTGTATAACTTAGTATCCCATTTGTCCAAGGATAAATTATGCATCTAATGGCCTTTTTTCATCATTGCACCACAGTAAATATGTAATTCACTGATCCAGATCACATTATATTGCTTGTTTTCAATCAAAAAGCATTTAAATGAAAACAAAAGCAACAGTCTCCCATGCTAACATCAGTGGAAGTTTACTTTATTTGTGTCCCGGGTGAATTTTATCTTCACAAACTTTTCCCATGGAAATAACCTAACATGTTGATCTACACTTTCAGGTGTCAATGGTACTCAGATGTGCCCAGTTTCCATTGCCCTAGAAGAAGATTATGGTTATTATGGCAACATCCCTCGCCTCCGATACCTTCGTCTGGATGGAAATGAAATTCAGCCTCCAATCCCACTGGACATCATGATCTGTTTCCGACTACTTCAAGCTGTTGTCATATAAAGATATTGCAGTGTCACTCTTGTACCGTGAGAGTGCTAAGATACAAGTTTTGCTGGAATGAAACTTGTTCTAACCCAAACCAAGAAGTAACAGCTTTATTTGACTTTAATTTTTTTCTTTGCTTGTATGTTTTCTACAACTGAAAAGGCTGTTCTTTCAGAAGGGATTTTGTATGGACCTGAAACATGTGCTTAACACCTTATCCTATAAATTCATAACATGAATATATTGAAAAATCATTGGTGTAAGATCCCAAATATTCCAAAGAAAATCGTTACTTACTCCATCTTTCTAGTCAAATGTGACAATGCCTACCCTGCTAACATAATTCCTATAGACAAGTTAGGTGTCTTCATTTTGTTACATAGTAACTAACACAATGAATTTGGGTGCACTTGGCCAAATACTTATGCTAATGAAATCATGAGCTGCATGATTACTAGTTATCAAAACTGCCACTGACATTTCAGATAGTGACTTGTGGTGAACAACCACTTAACACGCAAATAACCCATAAATTGCTGTCATCCTTTGAAGATTAATACTTTTAAGGTGAAAAATACATGAGGCTTAGCATCCAAAGCAGCATGCTGAATATATATCATTGTAGGGACTCATTCAGTGAATTTCAGAACTGGAATAAACTGATCCAACTCAAATCCAGGGATAAGAGAACATGAGATGTAATCTTGTTCTCTCAATGTACCAGTTTTCTGCTATTTTATTCTATTTATAGTCTTGACATAATTTCTTTCTGTAACTTTGGAATCATCATTGAATATCTGGTAATTTTAGTTTGCAGAGAGATACAACCAAGAATAGGAATGATTACATATTTCATGGACTAGGTACTTCATAAAAATTTGAATGGCTAGTTAATGCAATGGTGATGAAGAGAAAATTAAGAAATTCAGAGATACATCTCCTCCCAATTATTTGCTGAACTAGGAAAGCACTTGCATAGGGACTATATCATTTAAGCAAATACATTCAATTCAGAGCAATATTCAGCTATCTGCTAACTCACACACATGCTCACAATAATACTGGATTTTAGAGAAGTCCAGATTATTAGAACACAATACATTAACAATTCACTAACAAGGGAGATATCAAAAGGTAACTTTTAATGAAATATGGCTAATTTTATCAAATCTAGTTGATTTTTTTCTATTTTATTATATTGGCTTTCAATAAATGACTTGAATATTAGAGTCAACTTTTCATTGACAGAGAATGACTTTCTTATTTCTTCTAGCCAGCACAGCAGACTATCCATCAGTCATTGTTTTAGTCTTCTTGCATTTCTAGATGGAAGCAATTAGTTGCATCTATTGTTAATGTTTTAAGACTGGCCTCAGTAGCAAGCACTTAAAGACTATGAACATGGTATAATTTTACTTTGCTGTATTTTCTTGAAAGTAGATTTTTGAAAGTGTTGAGAACTGCAATTTCTGACAATCAATACTTTTTATTGGAAAGTCAGGCCTTATTCTGATCCAGAGAACTTGTGGAAATAACATAGTATAGAAACCCAGAATAGGAATAACCCACTCAGAAATCTGATCATTAAACCATTTATTTTTGCTGTTCGTTTTATGTCATTGATGAGAAACTCCTGCCCTTCCAACAAAAGTATTTTCTGTACATCTGTGTTCATCCTATATGAAAAAATACAGATTTAAAAATCTTTACAATATGTATGCATGTTTAGTTATGTTCTTTACTCAATAATAGCATAGTAATTTATTTTTGGAAAAATAATTATGTGACAATACTACTAATTAAATTATAAAAAAATTATATTCTTGTACTTGGAAATTAATTTCTACTTAAAGCAAAGAACAAATACAGGTACTTCAAAGTGAATTTTCACAGGCATATATGCACTTATTAATCTTATTTACAGTTCTAATTGTACAGAAAGGATCTTGAAGATCCAGTAAAAACTTACCCTTTTAGGTACCATATACACATTGAAGAAAAGACTAAACCTTCCCAAAGAAATGTTAAGCTTAAATATGTCAAAAGTTGATATGTAAAATCATAAAGGGATACTAGAGCATCAAGGTATTCCTTTTGCTGGATAGGGGCATTATGTGATGGAATCAAGAGCACAAGATGTGATGAACTAAATTTTAAAAGTTATTTTCACCAGCTGTACTGCTATTTTTTCAATGCAGTGTAATATGGAAATTCTTATAAATCAGTCCTTCAAAAGCCAGTACTATTCTGTGCAACAGTTCTAGAACACATGCAGATTGATGCTCAAGATTTGCTTCTGTCAAATCCCAGTTAATCTGAATGAAGTGAAAATTCGTGATACATCCTTGGATAAACTTCTCTTGGGCTGAAGAGCTGCAGCTGCTCAGTGCTCTATATTCTACACCTTGGGTGCAATGCACTGATTCCATGTCTGGGAATTACTTAATAAAGAGAAAATCTTAAGTATTCTCACTTAGGCTAATTTGTTCCATCTTGATGCTCTCTCCCAGAGCCAGATCTATGAAGCAGAATAACAAACAGTTATGTTGCTGCAGTGACCTTCACAAAATAAATCAATGCTGATTGGGGGTTAAGCTTCTTTACTGCATGTACGTGGCCATTTGCAATAGTTTTCATATTCTTAAATGTCCTGGGAAAGTTGGTGAAACTTCCTTTCAGACTACAATAGCAGGCCTAAATTGCATTATTGTGTGGTACTAAACAATGTAGGCTTTCAGCCGCTACACAGTTCATTCATTGTGCCAGAGGACTATAAAGGAATATGTAAAACCCATTGTCTTTTTGCTAATATTGAGACCCAGTAATACAATGCAAAAAGCATCACTGTGCTTGAAATTCTGATGTTAATTCTTCCTAATCCAAGATTTCTCTAAGACTTCCCACAGATATTTCCTGGTCAGAAACAATTGTGTTCTTTTCCTCTGAAAGAAGGGACGAACACATCTCTCAGCTTTCTTGTCTGAAAGTGCAGTGGGCATCATAGAACAGTCATTTGCTTCCCTTACTTGTCAGAACACATTGCAATCAGTTTTGAATTGAATACCATGGAAACAAAGACATTTACAAGTATGACAAGCTACTGCAGCCATGTTCCATCACTAATCAAACCACAAACATCCAGTGCTTTTTGCAGAAATCCATCTTACATATTAGGTAATTTTGAAATTAAGGTTGTTAACACAGATGTGCTATCACCTCAGCCAGGGTACAGACGGTTGCCCTGTAAAGAAAAGTATTAAAGCAAAGTGAGAGACTCAAGAACTGAAAAATACCCAGATGTTTCTGCCATGTCTGCCAGCATGATTGGAGGCTGGAATGCTGGATCTATCAAAAGGCTGTGGGGTTTTATAACACAGCTGGCTCTGCAGGAAGAAAAGACTTTTTCAGATGCTGCCAGCATAGTTAAAAATTTAGCCACATGTGTGATTCTCCGTGCTCCATACTGTTCTCTGGCATTTTCTGTTTCTTTCTCAAGAGTCCAGTGCGCAACCACTATTCTTCAACATTCTGAGGGAAAAACACCACCATCAAAATCATGCATAGATGCCAGTGACCACAGCAGCCTGTATGACAACTCAACACAAACACTGAGGTAAAAATTCAGAAGACAACTAGAAAAATAATATGCATTTTTGCAACTACTAACTCCAGCACATATCGTGTGTCATTGGAGGGATTTCCAGTGACCCTTGCTGCACCCAAATGGTTTCCAATGTTTGCTACAAGTAGTTGTTGTTCACTTTTCCAGCCTAGAAAAACTATTTGCTGATATCAAATTGCAGCTATTTCAATTACCTACTGGGAATCAGGTTACTGTAACATCTACATTTGTGTTGATTGTTAAAGAGCTAATATCTTCTGCCAAGCATGGCTGAGAATCCTTGGTCCTGTTAAAGTCAGCAAGTTAATGTCTTTCTCTTGACTGAAAGTCACTTCCATAATTGCAATTTTTTTACCCAGACTTGCTTGCCCATTTAAACATGACGAGAGGCTCTGTAGGGCACCACACTGTGTGTGTAGTGATACCCAGGAATAGCAATAACCACTTCAGGTCAAGTGTATGAAACCATATCCACAATTCACATGATGTTCTGCCCTAGCTAACTTACTATCTCACCCACTAGTAGAAGTGATACTGTTTCTAAGCCCTGTGCTTGCTCTAGCAGTGCTAGTTCTAGCAAATCCATACTTTAATGATTTCAAAATCTTTCCCCAAACAATTTTTCCTTATACTCCCTGCTCTGCTGCCAACAGCCTGTATATTCTTCTTACTGGTTTTGTCTTGGTTTCAGTAGCAGTGGGATGAGTCCAGAGGGATGTCACTAAGTTGATCAGAAGGCTGGAACACCTCTCCTCTGAAGGCAGAGTGGGCTGTGGCTGTTCAGCCTGCAGAAGAGAAGGCTTCAGAGAAGTTGTATGAAAGTGACATTTGGACTCAGCAGCTCTCAGTCAATGTAGGTTTTTTCCAATAATTTTTATTTTTATAACCATTCTTATGAAATCTTAGTGGATTCAGAAAAAAAAAAAAAAGCAAATATTTTCAACCAGAGGAAAGGAAAGGAAAAAAATAAAAATGTTCATGTTTCTTACTTAATATTCTTGTTTCTAGGATGTCCATGCAGCATGATGAGCCCTTCACCAGTTACTGAAATCCCTGAATTTGTCTGAAATCATGCTCCCACTGCTAGGAAGCCTATTTTGAGGATGGTAATCTCCTTGTGATGCTCTACTTTGTTACAGGGCTTCAAATAATCACCGATTCTCTCCCCTGGCAGTGAGGATAGGCTTCATGGCATTATACGATCTAGGCTCAAAACCCTGTCTGAATCAGAAGCAGATTGAATTGTAGTGCATATTTATTTTTTTTTCTCTGAGGAGGCTGTTTTCAGCACCAGACTAGAGGTTCATGGTCTTTTGTGAATCCTAAGATTTGTTCCTTTCAATGACTGTAACTGCTTCTAATGAAGAAGACTGATAGCAAGCCTTTTCAACTC